CGACCCTTGGAGACAACTCGAGGCACAAGACTGCGCTGGAGGAGAGGAGTTTCGACATGCTCCAGCAGTAACGTCACTAAATGCCATGCTCAATAGGAGAGCCCCGCCCTGAGGAAGCCTCAATGCTCTCTGGTACTTTTGTTCGTTCATGATAGGGCAAGACTACTGTAATTCGTTCGCCTGGCCTGACAGATCAAATCGCAATTCAGAAACCGGGTTGCCGTTTTGGGATGCGGGGATGCCAATTGTCACCGAAAGCCTCGGCATACCAAGCCGCTGCAGGGGACGAGGCTTCTTGCCCTTGTTGGCCGATGCTGTACGCGGTCCCGGGCCAGATTCGCCGTCGCTAACAAGAAATGTAGCGCCGCGCTTGCAAGTGTTGCTTCCTTCATGGCAATTATGGGTCCATAATGGTTAAGAGCTCGTACTCGGGCATCTTGGGAAGGTTCACGCAAACCTGGCAAGCCTGGACAACTGAAAGATGAGTAAGGAGCTCGCTGTGAGCGCAGGCCCGGGAGGAACGAGGCCGGAGGTAACGGAACCGCGCCCAGTGAGCCCAGGGTCCAAAAGCCTTTTCGCAGCATGTTCGAGTCCGAGGCCTCTTGTTCCTATGGGACTCGATTGTTTGATGCACCATGCTCATCTTTTTGGGTCAAACCAGGAAGACAAAAAAAAACAGACAAGTCTAAACAACCATTTGCTCCTTGCCATCCACTGCCCAGCGCGTGTCTAGTCTTGATCTGGTTTAGGACACTGAGCCATCTACTGGGATAATTCCTCAAGACCAGGCACAACATTCGGCCGGACTCGGGTTGGGGAGTCATTGCAAGCCGGCTCTCCTAGTCAGATGCGAAGGTGTGTAGAGTCAGGCTATCATCCCGTCGTGTGATACGCCCGCACACCGGACTCGACAGTTTTACGGCTGCGAATCAGTTGGATGGGTCAAGTCGCCAGTACGGGCTTGTGGTGGGCCAAGGGTGCCGGAGAAGCGTCACGGATGTTTTTTTGGCGACGGCGACAGGTCCAAAGGGTTCCAGTCAAGACGTATAGGAGTGGCTGAGAGACCGCTGTTGGTGCTGTTGTCAGCTGAGGACCGACGACCAGATCGGGATACATGCGTAAGCATTCGCTTTCAGCGGTCGCTGGAGCCTGATTGACGACGGCAGGCCCTATTTGTTCCCAGGCTGACTTGTAACGGTACAATCTCCCGTTGGCAGAAATGGGAATTCGGTGAGAGCGACCGCAGCTCGTCCGGAAAGCCACGGCCACGTGTGACATGCTGCGCAATCGTGAGGACGGCACTACGAGTCATCGGACGGCGCTGAGGCTAAGCATGTACACTTTGCCCACACATGTGATCCTGTGCGAAAAGAGGCGGGCGGCCTGCACAGGCATTTCACCTTGTTGCCCTCGTGCACTGCATCCTATCTACAGGTGTTCCTGTGTTGGGGTTTTCTCAACAAGCACATCTTGCCCGTGTGAGAGGATCATGTCTCTGGCAGACGGGGGATCATATGGTCAACAGGGCAACACTGCTGAATCACTTCGTACGTGCGACGGAGCGCCACAGGCGCGCGTCATTATTCGGGCGATTGGACCCTGATCTTCCACACCCAGGGGGCGAGTGCGGCTTGGGGCCAAGACCCCAAGCAGCCCCGCCAAGCCCGCACCGAGACGTGCCTTTGACGAGTCCATCACGACATGGAAGCGCAAATTCGCCTCCCAAGGCGACTCGAGTCATCGATAGACGCTAGGAGGCGGCGGCGCCTTGAGTGCCAGTGTCGAGGATCCCTCCTCGTGTCTGACCGCTCTTCCAGATGAGTAGCTGTCACTCTGACTAGATACGGCTGCACGTGTTACGAGCGTCTGAGCTGAGACGAGACAGGTGACCTCGACAAATTGTACCCGGCGCCGTCTCTCGCATGAACAGCAAAAGAACAGGTACCTGTACCCAGGTTCCTAGGTGCGCACCTGGGTGGGAGGGCTCAACTCAGCACCCCGCCAGCCAAGACCGATAACCCGTCTGCCCAGTGCCCAGCATCTCAGCGCCCCAGTACCCCAGCGGCCCAGCGCGCGAGGTAGGTGGCTACCGACCCCACCACAGCCTGCTTGGCCCAGTGTGCCTGCCCTGCAACCCCGGACCCGAGAAGCCCCGCAAAAAGCGCACCAGGTGCATGTTCCTCCTCATAATAAGCCTGCCTGCCTGCCCGCAGCCTGCCGCGTGCGTGCCTGCCTTGGTCGTCCGCCTTCTGCATTCAGGCTCATCCCGCACCGCACTGCTTGCTTCCCGTCCGTCCAGCACATCGAAATCGCCAAATCCCACCTGCCTTTTTGCATCCTACCCATCCCTTTGCGGGCCAGCGTCCATGCGAACAACTACAACTATCCTGCACCCCCCACATTTGTCGACGAATCTCTCGCAGACTCCTTTCTCGGTACCTCTCAACGTCCCTGGCCCCCAGGCACGACCCTCATCGACTCGCCCGGTCTAGCCCTCGACTCCAACAAAGGACCGCCTCACCAGTTCTCAGCTCCCCAACACCAGACCACTCCAGACCACACACAAAACCTTCAGGTCTCCCAGCCTTCCTCTCGACCTTTCAGCGGAATCTTCGCCGTATCTTCGCTTCGTTGCGCGAAACGAATCGAAGCGACCATACCGCCTGGCTGGCCGACGAGCACAGCCTCTGTGTCGGATTGCATGCGTTCCAGTCCGTCGCTCTAGACTACAAGAACACAGCTCCATCCTCGCTGCCCGCTTACAACCTCTCCCGCCCATTACTGACGACAACAACCACCCAACATGGCGCCCGGGTCTTCAGATCACCAGTCCTACTACCGCAGTGGCGGCCACACCGCCGCCGCAACACGGCCTGTCGGCGCCGACCCCGACACGTGGATTCAAGTCACCGAGATTGATGACGACGACCTGCAGTTTGGCGGCAAGTCTCTGAGCGAGTGGTACGAGGAGGAGCGTCGCCGTCAGAGCCATGGCTGCTCGTCTGATGAAGAGGAACGTGGCCGACAGAGGGTAAGTTGCCAGTCACCTCCATGCGCCTCGATGTGTAGTGCGACAGACGACTAACAGTTTAGGTTCGCAAGCACTACCAGCACACCAAGAAGAGCGACAAGAAGCGCTGAGCCCCATCGCGATCACCACTTCCCACGCTTCTCTCGCCGGTGTTGCGGACTCTTCCCTCCAGCATTACAATCCTTTCCTTCGTCATCGACATCCTCCATCTGGCGTTTGCTTTTTCTTACAGCGTTGCATGGTCAGCTTTCTCATTAGACGGAGCACGATACCACGATCACGGTCGCATGACACATTACCGCAGGCACAGCCACTCGAGAGGCGGCAATTAGAGCGTCGCGCCCTCCTGCTTTTCATCCCCTTTTCCCCTTCTAGAGCCGGGCCGTTGCCTCACTCTTCCAACCCGACTGGCGCATCGATACCAACTTGATTTTTGGCGTGGAACCAGACCTTGATACCCTGTTGCCGCTGCCTAATCCCTATAGCCAGGCAAGAAGCCTCAGTCGCCGGTAGCTGAATTGAATTTTATGTTCAGGTCCCTTTGTCGTCATTCTCGTATGAGTTGCACATAGTTGATGGGCTCGTCCACTCGTCACTGCATTGGGATGCGTTTTGAGGGCCACAACATGTTCTGTTGTCTGTTTGCGAGGTAGCCCTGTAAAGTAAGCATTTGGAGTAACTGGAAAGAATTCTGGGCAATGTACGAGTTAGTACCGGGCTAACTCGTCACCAAAGCCCTTGCGACGCTGATGTAATCACAGCCCAGCGCTCGCCTCGAGTCACCCGGATCTTGCACACCCTAGCCTACTGGGAATTCCGCATCTGAACTATCTCATGCATTTGTAGCGTAGCATTTTGAATGCTAGGCCAACCAGAAAGATTGAATTACTCTGATTACACTAACATATGTTGCGCTAAGAGGTCCAGAGGAAACGGTGTATGTGCAGTCCCCGTTCACAATGCTGTTAAAGTGAAAGAGTCAAGGAATGTACCTTTAAAATACTTAGGTTAAGTAGTACGGTTGAAGCAGACCACGTCGTGGCCCAATTTCTCTACTCATGCCCTGGTCGATAAAACCCTGAGCGTGTCTTTTTGATGAGCTGACATTTGTTCTCTCAGTGGGCATCCAGATGTGTCGTTGGCACTAAAAACAATAAGTGGAAGTGACCCATCACAAGCCTCCTCGCAGCCTAACCCACCTTCCTTCCTCGGACGTCCGAGGTGACCAATTCATGTTGCGTCCGCAATGACGGTGGCCGGCTTATCCCGGACGCTGCCTATTTCAGCCTTTCTCTATCCACCTCCAAGACTCACCAGACGCAACTAGACCGCTTGGCGTTTGTGCGGTTGGTGACCTGCATGTAAGTCAGGGTTTTGATGGTACGATGATACTCAGAAATGCGAGGTAGTGGTTCCCGGCCAAATTTATTACCACGTTTAACCTAGATATTGAAACGAAAAATGAGGAAAGGCCCCCACCAACAGGTCAAAAACCCTTCATGTGGGATTAAAGCTCGAGCAGCGTGGCCAGCTTGGCATCTGTGGAAAACTACAAATAGAGGTGTGTCGACGGCATGGAACTGCACCCAAACTTTTCCTCACCGACAAAAAGAATCTCAGCAGCAGCTTTCATCGAATCCTTCACTATGAAGACCACTTATATTACGTCCCTCCTCCTGGCTTCTGTCAACATCGCCCTAGGCAGTCCGATGCCCAGGGTCGAAGCACGAAGTGTAGAGACGGTCCTCTACAAGCGTGGCGAAGTCCTGAACGAGCGTGATTTGGATCTAGCTGCCCGCCACGGGGTTGACGCGAGCGAAAGTATGAGACTGCAGATTCTACCCCGAAGAATACCTCCTGTACTTCGAGCTAACTGTGGGCAGTGTTCCGTCACTCGCTTGTGAAGCGGTCTGATGGGAATGATATCACCATTTGGGTGCACAACAGCTTCAACGAAACTCTCAACTTCCACAAGGGAGGTGCTGAAGAGGCTTCGACATCTGTCAACAAGCGAGCGCAGCGTGTCAATGTTCCTGGAAACTTCTTTTATACTGGCCATTGGTGGCAGTCTCGGTCTGACGCTTGCGGACACAGCAGCTTCCGGAGTCTGACCAGCGCGACTGTGGGGGCTTACACTGGTGGCGTAGAAGAAATGTCCCGCTGGGGTCATCGCACCCGAGGCGGCTTTGAGCTTCATTTCCAAATCGCGTCGACAAACCCCCTTCTGGTCGTTGCCGGGTCCAACAATGGTGCTAACGCTGGTTTCTACGCGACAAGAAATGACAAGCCACACATGGAGAGGATGGTCGGCACCTATGACATCGGCGACCTCGCGAAGGATTCCTTGCGCTTCGCCAAGTCCTTCAGCCCCAATGGCCAAGGCGTTCGCACGGCTGCAACAGGTGACATGACCTGCAACGCAAACAACTCTGGCAAGGCAGGAGTGACGTGGACTATTCGCTCTGTTAACCACAGAGCTTAATTCCATACGGATAGACGGGAAGCTTGGTATTGGTAGATGTGTTCCTTAGGGTCCCGGGGTCTATACTACGTATAGATTCTACCTTCTGTATCAAATACATTCCCTGTTCCCGTAATTGTGACCAGTGACAGGTTGGACGTCAATACCATTGTCTAAGTAAAGCGTCGTTAGTCTTTTCTAACAAGGAAAGGAACAATGATGTCCTACCTGGGGACTTATCATAACGATCGCTCGTAAGTAAAGAAACGCAAGGAGAGTCTCTACTGCCCATCCCCATCGCCGTCTTCTTCCCTACCCCGACTCGTGGCCTTGATCTTGTTATCATCAACATCTCGTCCCTCGTCCTTGTCATTCTCATCTTCGTTTTGCTTATCATTCGATTTGTCACCACCGTCTCCCTCGTCTTTGAACCCATTGGTAATCTGCCCACCAGACTCCTTGCCTCGGGAGTCTCCACCGTCTGACTTGGTGTCGGGCTGGTTTTCGGACCCACTGTCAGCCTGGTCGCCGAGCTTGTCGCCGTCCTTGTTCGGATCTTCCGCAGACTTGTCTTCCTTCTTGGTCTTATCCTTATCATCGCCAGCGGACTTTTTGCCTTTCCCGCTTTGCTTACGACCACCGTCCTTGCTGCCAGCTTCCTCCTCCTTCTGCTTGCGTTCGGCCTCGGCCTTTAGCTTCCTGTTCTTCTCCTTTTCCTTCTTCTCTAGTGCTGCCCAATCGACTTCCTTGTTTGGGAGGTTCTCATGGACTCTGTCCGAAAGGCCTTGGCCCAAACGAGGGGCGGCCGAACCAACCTTGGCCCGACCGACAAGGCTGACGAAGATCGCAACACCGACGATGCCCGTCAGGATGAATCTGTACTTGGTGTACCAGGGCGGCGTCCAGCCACGCGTCGTCGCGCGAGCATCGGCCAGGTACAGGCCTGTGAAAGCAGAAAATTGTGTGATCAACGCCGCCTCGATCGGCATGAAGAGGGTAGGCCACGCAACGACAGGCGCGAGGACGCCCATGCCATAACGGAAGTTGGTGCGCGAAGATGAGATGGTCTTGGCCGTGTATTCCATGCCCTTCGTACTGATTAGCAGGAATCGCACGCGGTCTACCATATTTGATTGCTCACCCAATGCACAGCACCTAGAAACGAGATGATGACGGCGCCGTAACCTAGCTGCACTGGCTCGAGGAAGTCAAGCCAGTATTGCGCCGATTCATGGTTCATGTGAATGTGATTGATCAGTGTCGAAGAGGACGGCCAGTCCGTGTTGAGGTCCCAACTCAAGTAGACTGTGGCTAGTGATGTACCAAGGTAGGGGATCGTGCCGGCGAGACCAAGCCAATAGGGCTGTTTGGGCACATCGGAAAGCTCAAAAGTGTCTCTCACGATACCCTAGGAGTGATCAGCGTTAATTGGTTTCAACCGACCGTAGAAGTGTGGGTTCTGTTACCAGGTCGTGTACGAGGCCATCTTGAACACTGTCATTGTTCTGTGCGGCCGGACTGGACTCGAAAACCTGGCGTGTAGACGAATCTACAGAGACATCTTCAGGACGAGACTCAATCTTCTTCTTGCCAACTTCCTTTTCGGCCTTGACATCAATCTTGTCGTAGGGGCTGTTTGAGTATTGTCGTCTCGAAGGGTAGAGGGCGGCGACGGTCCTACTCTTGAGGCCTCCGTATTTCGGAATTAGACTTCCCGGCGTCAAAAGCTGAGAAGTCAAAGGGGTCGAAGCTCGTGGAAGGAGACGAGCCGCCGCTCTCGTGGAGTGAAGCATGGTTGCGTGGACGGCGCGGGTCAATGGAAGTCTGGCACGAAGAGGCTTGTGGTGCTGCGACAAATGGCTGTGCTATGAACAACAAGAGGCAAACGATCAGTGTGTCGCGCCAGGGACACCAATGGTTAAAGAGGCCACGAGCAATACCGACAGCTCATAATACAAACTCCTGCCTGCAACCGGCTCCTTGTTGAGCTCAAGGTCCAATTGACCATGTTGGAAGGCATGTGTTGCAAATGACGTAATGCAGGGATAAGCTCAACGGCTGAGAAGCTCCGACTTGGGTAACAGCCCCTCGTTTGGGCCTAGGCTTACGCCCGACCATGATCGCCGATGCGCAGCACGCTCCCCCGTCCGTCGTTCTTTCCTTTGCTCGCACACGGCGGGGAAAGTCAACTGGCAGCCAGCGTCATCATCCGCTAAGTTCCCACACCGTCATCCTTCCACCAGGTCCCATCTTGCCAGCATGTCGACGGTGATCCAAATCTAGTCCTTTGCCTTGTTTATCCACTTTCTACAGAATCGGAGTTTGAGACATCCCCCCTTCCAGCTGTCCAGTGCCACCTTTTCGATTCAGTACCAACCTCCGTCCGCTCGGAACCCGGACCCCTCCTCGGTAAACCAACCCAGAATCACTGCGCTGCTCACGCACCTCTAGCCATCACTGACCGAGCCTGCATAATTTCTAGACGATCTTGTCACGTCGACCTCTGACAACCGCATCTTCGAGAATCCCCCGAGACCTACCGAGCGCGAACCTCTCTCATCCCGAACCTCATGTCGCGGCGGAGCGGACCCCATTAACCATAATCACGATCCCTGCCCGGGTCACGGCAATCAACTGCCGCCGTCATGTTGGAAGGTCTGGTTGCGGGCCTGCTCAACAGGTTCCTGGGCATGTACGTCAACAACTTTGACCCCAAGCAGCTCAAGGTCGGCATTTGGTCTGGCGATGTCAAGCTGCGCAATTTACAGCTCCGCAAAGAAGCTCTCGACCAGCTCAAACTACCCATCAACGTCCTCGAAGGTCATCTCGGCGAGTTGACCTTGATCATCCCTTGGTCTAACCTTAGTGGTGCGCCCGTCAAAGTCTTTATTGAGGACGTCTTTTTGCTGGCGTCCCCGAAAGAAGATGCAGCATACGACGAGGACGAGGAGGAGCGGAGGAAACAGCGTATCAAGATGGAGAAACTTGACTCTGCTGAGCTTCTCAAGGAACGATCACAAGAGGGCCTCAGTTCCGAGGAGCAAAAGAAGAATCAAAGCTTCACTCAAAGCCTCGTGACAAAAATTGTCGACAACCTGCAGGTCACAATCAAGAACATTCACGTCCGCTATGAGGACTCCATCTCTACGCCTGGCCACCCCTTTGCTCTTGGTGTTACCCTTCAAGAGTTTAGTGCCGTCAGTACAAACGGCGAATGGACACCTACCTTCATCCAGGACTCGACAGTGTCGACCCACAAACTCGCCAAACTCGGCGCGCTTGCTGTGTACTGGAACACAGATACAGAGCTCTACGGGCCCGGTCGAGAGATCGATCAAGAGGACAGACCCATACTGACACACGAGGAGATGGTTGCCAAGTTCAAAGGCATGATCGCAAAACCCGACGAAGCCAAACCTGACTACCAATTTGTGCTTCGCCCCGTCAGCGGGCAAGCCAAGATTGTTCTCGACAAGACAGGTGACATTCACATGCCCAAGACCAAGGCAAGTCTCTTGTTTGAGGAGATTGGTCTTGTGCTGGATGACGACCAGTACCGAGATGGCCTCATGATGGTCGACCTTTTCCACTACTTCATCCGGCATCAAGAGTACAAGAAGCTACAGCCCAAAGGTGTCACGCCCAAGGAAGACCCTCGAGCGTGGTTCAAGTTTGCAGGTGACGCCATTCTCAGCAAGATACACGAGCGCAACAGACGCTGGTCGTGGGAATACTTTCGCGAGCGCCGCGACGACCGAAAAAGATATATCGAGCTGTTCAAGAAACGAAAGCAGCAACAGCAATTCTCTGCAGAAGAGTCTGCGGATATCGAGGCGCTCGAGCAGCGTCTCGACTACGAGGACCTGCGGTTCTGGAGGTCACTGGGTCGGAATCAACTCAAGAAAGAAAACGCCGCTGCTCTGAAGAGTAAACCGGCGCAGGCCCAACAACAGGGCTGGCTTGCATGGGCATGGGGCTCCAAACCGGCCGAAGAGCAGCACAGCGACATGGAAGAAAACACACAGATCACAGAGGAGCAGAAAAAGGAGCTCTATGACGCCATTGATTGGGATGAGAAGACAGCGCTCGCCGAGTCGGTTGATGTTCCGAGGGAAAGTGTCAAGATGCAAGTGGAGGCTTCTTTGAGCACCGGCAGTTTCACGTTGAAGAAGAACCACAACGGTAGACTCAAGGATCTCATCAGTCTACACTTTGACGTCTTTAAGGCCAAGGCCCTTCAGCGCCCCGACTCTTTCCTTGCTGCACTCAGCCTCGGCGGTCTGCGTGTCAATGATGGCACCACGTCGAACAGTCTGTTCCCTGAGATTGTTCGTGTCAAGGACTCGCCGGAAACGCAAGAGCGCAAGGCTTTGACCATCGAAGAGCTAGAGAGCTGTGACGACGAGCCCTTCTTCAACATTGAGGTCGAGCAGAACCCCATCGACCGCGAGGGTGATATAGCCGTCGTGGGGTCGCTCAAACCGTTGGAGATTGTCTGGAATCCCAACTCAGTCGTCGGCGTAGCTGACTTCTTCCGCCCTCCAGAGCGACACATGGAGTCCATCAGTGCGCTCATGGAGTCGGCTGGCGCCACTGTCGAGGGCTTTCGTGAGCAGACCCGCGCAGGATTGGAGTTTGCGCTCGAAGAACACAAGACGATCAACGCTCAACTCGATCTGCAAGCACCGTTGATCATCGTCCCAGTCAGCATCGCCACCAAGGAGTCCACATGCTTAATACTGGATGCTGGCCACATCAGCGTCAACAGCAAACTCGTAGACCAGGACACGATGAAGCAGATTCAGTCCAAACAGCGACAGCAATACTCAAACGAGGATTTTGAGCGTCTCGAGTCTGTCATGTATGACAAATTCTTGGTCAAGCTAACGTCGACACAATTGCTTATTGGACCATCGATTAAGGCCACCAAGAAGCAGCTCATTGATCGGGACGCCTCGCAATCGTTGCACATTGTTGACCAAATCAACATCGATTTCGTCGTGGAAACATCCATTCTTCCAAAGGCGCCGAATTTGACCAAGCTCAAGGTGTCTGGCCACCTACCGGTCCTGCAGGCGGCAATGTCCGACGCAAAGTACAAGAACCTCATGCGCATCATAGATGTCGCGATTCCCAAGTTCGGCGATGACAAGACAGCCCAGAACAAGTCCAAGGAACAAACTAGACCAACGTCGCGGTCGTCCAAGGCTTCCCGACCACGCCTCGCCAGCTCTGCCTCGAATCGATCTCGCAAGGATGCCCGCCGCAAGTCATCTCAATTCCCATTCCTACAACAGCAGACCGCCATTGTCATTGACGAGGATGATCTCGACGAGGATGACAATGAAAATTACGAGGATGCTTCGGACGGCGTTGATAATGAGCAGATCACGATGCAGCAGCGGTCGTTTGAGCTCAAGTTCAAGGTCGACACGCTCAAGGGATCACTCTACCGCAGCGACCCCGACAGAAAGAAGCCAGATCAATTGCTCGTAGAGCTTGTCGCTAGCGATTTTGACCTGGAGTTCTTCTTGCGTCCCTATGACATGTCGGCTGAGGTGTCTCTTGGTTCCGTGACCATGGATGACTTTGTGGATGACCCACCAGGTGACTTTAAATCGATCATTTCTTCGGGCGATGTGGAAGATCGCGAGCAGAAGCGCAGTCTCGTCAAAGTCAAGTTCACCAAGGTCAATAGCCAGTCGCCAGAATTTATGCCCGTCTACGAAGGCGTCGAAACAAATGTCACAGCAGCCATTTCGACCATCAACCTGATCGTGACGAGAAAGACGCTGCTCACTTTGCTAGACTTTATCCTTGCAACATTTACCGGCGACAACAACGAGGTCGTATCCAAACGGGAGCAAAAGGCCATCGAAGCTGCCGAGAGCGACGACAACGAGATCGAGGTGGCGGTAGACACCCCCACGGAGGACGCCCAAGCCAACACAGCATCAATTCGGGTCAAGGTCGATCTCAAGAGTATCAGACTCATCCTGAACAATGACGGCATTCGGCTGGCGACACTCTCGTTCAACCACGCTGACGTCGGAGTTTTCTTGCGGGGCAAGACTATGCGCGTGTCTGCTAAACTGGGCGACCTGAACCTCGTTGACGATGTCAACCAGGGAGTGCCCGACGACTCGCCCCTCCGCCGGCTCATTGCCATCGAGGGCGACGATTTGGCTGATTTCAGATACGAGACGTTTGACGCCGAAAACACCAAGACCTACCCTGGATATGACTCCTCCATTTTCTTGCGGGCTGGTTCTTTCAAACTCAACTTCCTTGAGGAACCGTTCCGCAAGATTATCGATTTTGTCGTCAAATTTGGCAAGATGCAGGCCATTTTCAATGCGGCCCGCCAAGCTGCCGCCAACCAGGCAAATCAGATCCAGCAAAGCACGAGCAGGTTCAAATACGATGTGGTTGTCAAAACGCCCATTGTAGTTTTCCCACGAGTGGTGCAGCTTGGCCAACCAAAACGCGACCTCTTGACAGCCTACCTCGGCGAGATTTATGCGCAGAATAAGTTTGCGCCACTTGACGACTCGGAGGACGCACAGATTGCTACGAAGATCTCAGCCGGCATTCGCAATATTCGTCTGACTTCTGATTTCAATTACGAAGATGACAAGTCCGAGGAGCTGGAGCTCATCGACCACGTGGATCTCGGATTCAATGTCACGTACGCCGAACACCAGCACGGCAAAAAACGACCTGAATTGGAGATTCAAGGCACCATGTCTGACTTCAACCTCAAGCTGACGCAATATCAGCTCAGATTTCTGATGGAGATCTCCAAGTCTGTACCAGCAGCCTTTGCGAGTGACTCGGATGCGCAGGTCGAGTCGGCCGAACAGGATGTTGACGAAGACACCCTGAAGCGCGCCAAGTCAATGCCAGTTGAAAAAGCGTCCGGCGATGACGATCAGCTTGTCGACCTGAGCCCGGAGCTTAGGTCGCGTGACAAGACGTGGACCACGCTGGACCTCGTGTTTCAGGTACAAACTATTGGCATGGAACTCATCATGGCGCCCGAGGATAAGCCTGTTGGCAATATTGAGACGGCCAGTCTCTCAAGGTTTTCGCTGGACGACACGAGAGTCAAGGCGCGGATGCTCAACGATGGGTCTCTTGAAGGCGAGTTCGTCATCCGTTCATTCACAATTCATGACAGTCGGTCCCGCGACGCCAATAAGTACCGTCGTATCATGACATCGCTCAACAAAGATGTCCAGCAGCTCATGGCGAGCGTTACCATGACTGGTGGGAAGGACAAGAGTTTGATTGCCATGGTAACGGTGGACAGCCCTCGCATCATCTTTGCGCTCGACTACCTCTTTGCCATCCAGAACTTTGTGACAGTTGGATTGACGGCCGAGGATCCCCTCGCGATAGACGATGAATCGTTGCTCGACGTACAGTCTGCCGAAGAGTCGGATGCGGATCTTGACGCTGCATCCTCACGAGCAGTCTCGACTAAGCATACAACAGCCAGCCAGCAGGTCGACACCACAGAGGCCACAACCGACCACGGCGACGACGACAAGACACCATCAGCTATGAATGTTGCGTTTAGAGTAAACGTCGTAGACGCACAGGTGATTCTTATTGCAAACCCACTGAGCTCGAGCTCTGAAGCTATAGTTCTCGGCACGAAGCAGGTTCTGCTATCTCAGCAGCATGCTTTGACTTTCCAGATTTCAGAGATTGGGATGTTCATGTGTCGAATGGACAAGTTCGAAGACTCGCGACTCCGTGTTCTCGACGATTTCTCGATCCAGATGTCCATGGACAGCTCCAAACCAGGTCTAACGAGCATTCACGTCGATGTAGAACCGCTCATCCTACGCTTGTCCTTGCGAGATATCCTCTTGGCCTTACAGATTGCTAGCAAGGCCACTGAGCTCTCCAGCAACCAGCCTCAGAATGACTCCAAGCCATCGGCGGTGGACGAAAAGGCTCGACAACTGCGGCAGGCCGGATTAAAACAACGTACAGCTAGCGGTAAGGGTCCGTCAACGCTTGCAGCGCGCACGCGTGCCACCAAGAGCGCAGGTCCCGGTGCCAAGATTGCAGCTGCGCAAGGCAGCCAGGCGGATGATTTCGAGAGTGATGGAGCCCTACAAAAACCTCCCCGCCAGCATGAAGAGCTTACAGCAACGATTGACGGCATTCGGATCGTGCTTATTGGAGACACACACGAACTGCCCATCTTTGACTTGGGTATCAAAAGTCTCACGGCGACAGCTGAAGACTGGTCGTCGAATCTCAAGGCCGGCACGGCTGTCGACATTTACATGAATGTGTACAACTTTTCCAAGTCCTCCTGGGAGCCGCTGCTGGAGCCTTGGCAGATGGGCGTCGGCATTGCAAAGGAGCAAGACACGGGACTTCTTTCCATTGATGTCACGTCTAAAAAGGTCTTTGATGTGACGCTCACAACGGCTACCATTGCTCTGGCATCCAAGTCTTTCGCCTTCCTCAGCCAGGACGAGGATGTCCTCGGCAAGCCCCGCGGTGTCGACGCGCCCTACCGCATTCGTAATTACACCGGTTTCGAAGCAGTCGTTCAGTCCAAGAGCACTGTCACCGACGAGGTCACAACAACACGTCTCGAAGACGGCCAGCAAGTGCCTTGGAGCTTTGAACCCTGGGAGAAGATGCGCGAGAACCTCTTGGCGGAGAGTAGTTCCAACGATGTCACGATCCAATTGGAAGGCAGCGGCTTCGACCCGGTCAAGAGCGTTCGTCTCAATCGCGAGGGTGAGTTCATCTACGGTCTGCGTCCTAAGACGGACAATGTTCTGCACCGACTACTCGTTGAGGTCAGCCTTGGTCAAGACAACGTCAAATACGTCACGCTTCGTTCGCCTCTGGTCGTTGAGAACGATACGCAGATCCCGGTTGAATTGGGAGTCTACGATGCGGAGGAGGGTCACCTGCTGAAGATTGAAAAGATCTCCCCCGGCGAGTCGCGCCCCGCCCCGGTCGGTGCCGTCTTTCTCAAATCGTTGCTCATCAGGCCTGACTCAGGGTTTGGCTACGCGTGGTCGTCAGAGACGCTTTGGTGGCGCGATCTGCTCAAGCGACCCACGAGGACCATGGTGTGCAAGGGTGAGAACGGGGACCCATTCTACTTTCAAGTCAACGCGACCTTTGATAAGGCCAATCCTTTAACCAGGTGAGTGTGTCGTGCTGCAGGCAGGCTCGAACCTTCACTAATAAGACTAGGAACTACCCGTACATGCGGCTTAAGGTTTCGCCGCCCATCGTCCTCGAAAACCTGCTCCCTCACGACTTCAAGTACCGCATCTATGACAAGGATACGAAGAAGGACTGGACCAACTTTTTGCGTAAGGGCGGTCTGAGTCCTGTGCACGTTGTTGAGCTTTCACACCTGCTCCTTCTGAGCATCGACATGCAAGATACCGTATTCAAGCCCAGCGATTTTGCCGTGGTGAACCCAGGCCACTCAGACGAGTTCAAGAAGGAAAAGAAGCTCATATGCAAGGACCAAGATGGTCTTCAGCTGACGCTTCAGCTTCATTACTTCAAGATCCCCGACAGCGGTGGCGCGTTCCGCGTGACTGTGTACAGTCCCTACGTCATCCTCAACAAGACTGGTCTCGACCTCAGCATCCGAGCAAAGAGCTTCATGCAGAGCGCCAAGGCCGCAGCGGGTCAGTCGCTGCTCACACAAGGACTGGAGCCAGGCCAAGAACGTCCCAAGGCCACGCCTTTCATGTTCTCCTATGGTAATGATGATAACCGCAACCGCACGCTCCTCAAAATTGCCGACTCAGAGTGGAGCAAGCCGCAATCTTTCGATGCCATCGGCAGCACCAATGAAGTTGTTTTGCCGTCCGCGAAGAAGAACAGCGAAATTCACGTCGGTATCACGATCGAGTCTGGCGAAGGCAAGTACAAGATGACCAAGGTCGTAACTCTGGCGCCGCGGTTTGTTCTCGCCAACAAGCTTGACGAAGAGATTAACGTCCGCGAGTCGAGCGCTTCCGGCTTCATGACGCTCAAGCCCGGCGCCCTACAACCCATCCACTTCATGCAGAAGACGGCAGTGAAGCAGCTATCGCTTTGCCATGCCGGCATGAATAATGACTGGACCTCGCCGTTCAACATTTCCGACATAGGCACGACACACATCAAAATTGCTAAACACGGTCAGCGTCAGAGGCTCATCCGTGCCGAAATCCTCATGGAAGCCGCTACTGTGTTCGTGCACCTCAGTATAGAGACAAAGAACTGGCCTTTCTCCATGCGCAATGAGAGCGATACCGAATTCACCTTTTACCAGGCCAATCCGAATGTCGACGAGGATGGAGTCGAGGACCGGTCTGGCTGGAAGCCCATTCGTTACAGACTGCCTCCACGCAGCATCATGCCCTACGCATGGGATTATCCCGCGGGCAAGTTCCGCGAGATTGTTCTGAACACACAGGGCAAGGAGCGCCATGTCAAACTGGCCGAGATCGGCAATCAGATCCCCATGAAGGCTGTCACTGCCTCGGGCCAGCAAAAGATCATTGACATCAACGTAGCCGCCGATGGCCCGACGCAGACCCTGATCCTCTCGAATTATCGGCCGTCCAAGAGTCTCTACCGCCAGAAGTCTAAATCGGGTTCCCGCACAAACAACGCCGAGGGCTTCGAGGTCAAAAGTCAGGAGACAGGCGCTACGTTCCGCGCCCAGCTCAAGCTGTCTGGCATTGGCATATCGTTGATCAACTCACAGCTGCGAGAGCTTGCATACATCACATTCCGTGACGTGCAACTGAGGTATCAAGAGTCGCAGTTATATCAGACTGTGAGCCTGGCGGTCAAGTGGATACAGATTGACAATCAACTGTACGGGGGTCTGTTCCCAATGATTCTGTATCCCAGCGTCGTGCCCAAGAAGGCGCAAGAGGTCGATGCGCACCCCTCACTGCATGCCATGGTCACCCGAGTCAAGGACGACTCCTACGGCGTCCTTTACATCAAGTACGCCACGCTGCTTTTGCAGCAAATGACGGTCGAGCTTGACGAGGACTTTGTCTACGCCGTGCTCGACTTTTCCAACATCCCTGGCGCCGCATGGTCCAATAGTCCTGATCAAGGCAAGCTTTGCGATGAAGAACTCGACATCCCGGAGCCGAAACAACAGCAATCAGGACAGGACATATATTTTGAGCTACTCAATATCCAACCCATGCAGCTGGATCTCTCGTTCATGCGCACCGAGCGCGTCAACGCTGAAGACAAGACATCGTCCCGCAATCCACTCATGTTCTTCCTAAATGTCATGACCATGGCCATCGGCAACGTCAATGATGCCCCTATCCGGCTTAACGCATTGATGCTCGATAATGTGCGCGTCTCTGTGCCGGCGCTGACCCAAAACATCTCCAACCACTACAGCCAAGAAGTGCTCTATCAGGTTCACAAGATTCTCGGCTCGGCAGATTTCCTCGGCAACCCTGTCGGCTTGTTCAATAATATCAGCTCGGGTCTCACCGATGTGTTTTATGAACCATACCAGGGCCTGATCCTCTCTGACAAGCCAGAGGATTTTGCGCTCGGCGTAGGCAAGGGAGCAGCATCGTTCGTGAAGAAGTCGGTCTATGGCTTTACAGATTCCTTTTCAAAGTTCACAGGCAGTCTGTCCAAGGGCCTCGCCGCGGCCACACTCGATAAGCAGTTCCAGGACCGTCGACGTATCACGAGGGCGCGAAACCGACCCAAACACGCTCTCTATGGCGTCACGGCGGGCGCAAATTCCTTTTTCACCAGCGCCGCATCTGGCGTCGGAGGCCTCGTCCGCAAGCCACTCGAGGGAGCTGAGCAGGAGGGAGCAATGGGTTTCTTCAAGGGCATCGGTAAAGGTGTCGTTGGCTTCGCCACCAAGCCTGCCATTGGCGTACTTGACATGGCTTCGAATGTTTCCGAGGGAATCCGCAACACAACCACCGTCTTTGATGGCTCCGAGCTTGAGCGTGTGCGATACGCGCGCTTCATTCCGGCCGACGGCATTGTGCGGCCTTACAATGGGCGCGAGTCCATGGGACAATACTGGCTCAAGCAAGTCGACAATGGGAAATATTTCAACGAGCAGTACATCGCTCACCTGGAGCTGCCTCGAGAAGACATGGTGGTCATGATTACCTACTCACGTATTCTGCTCATTCGCAGCCGACGGCTTACATCTGAATGGGACGTGCCGCTGAAGGACGTTCAGACTATCGCGAAGGAGCGCACGGGTTTGAGTTTAACGCTGAGGGGCGGCACCAATGGCCCGTTCCTGCCAGTAGGTGATGAAAGCGGACGAGCCTTTCTATACAAGATGGTCGCCGTAGCGGTGGAGGAATTCAACCGAAGGTTCAGGGGTCTAGAGTGAACCTATCGCAAGCCCGCCTGGGCTTGCTTGGTTGGCGTTTGGCGCTTTCCATTAGCAGATTATAACATGTTGTTCTGTTTCATCTCATCCTGGCTGTGATGCATTCGTCTTGCTGATCAATCCTCAGCTGTGGTAACAGAAACGCATGATTGCTAATCATGCTGATCAATCGCTGGCCTGGCTCGACGAGCACTACGCAACTCCATGACTTCACTCGCCGGGCACCACAACAATCGGTTAATAAATTGCAGATTCAACGTTCTTTTGATTGCTCTGGTCAAAAGGCATCACGACGCACGGAAAACAACGGTCAAGCTTCAGAAACGATTGTCTGTCGACCAGGTCGGCAGGTGGGTATTTCAATCACTACAAACATTACATGACCACCTATTAGGTCCATAACTTTCTCCGAGTCGAACCTTTCGTACACATCTTATTCCCACTGGGTGATGACAAGGCCAGCGACGGCAGCAGAGGTCAGGGTAGAGATGACACCGCAGGCCAAAGCGCTGACAGCAAGTTTGGCGACGTCACCAGCTCGCGAAGGAGCGAGCTGCGACAAGATACCAATCTGGATACCGAGCGAGCCAATGTTGCCGAAACCGCACAATGCGTAAGTCGAAATAAGGATGGAGCGAGGCGACATCTGGTTGTACGGCGCTTCGTTCTTGAGCATTAGGAACGCGGAGTACTCGTTCTGCAAGCACGCTGATTAGTCTCTGGCGATCTTTGGCATGAATATTCGGATAACTTACGATGATGACCTTCTCGGCAATCAGACGAGACACATTCAGAAGATCCGAGTTGCGGGGTACACCGAGCAAGAAAGCGAGGGGGTAGAACAGGTAACCAGCAATGAGGTTAAGCGTCAGGGGAGGAGAGTTGATGTTGAGGAAGCGTCCCCACCAAGTCAGCAGGCCGTCAACGAGACCCACGAAGGCAAGGATGCAGAGCAGCGAGGCCATGATACTGCCGGCAATCTTGATACCGAGCCAAGCGCCGTTCGCAAAGGCGTGGATGGCGTTGGAAGCGGCGTGCTCCTCATCGTCAGGAACAACAACCTTGCCAGCCGTGAGAGTCTCCTCGACTTCAGGATAACGGAGCTTGGAGATAGCAAGCGATGCGGGGATGGACATGACGCAAGACGACACCATGGCCTGCGCATTGAGGCCGAGACCGATGTAAGCGACAAGCACAGAGCCGGAAATGGTGGCGAAACCACACGTCAGAATCTGGTGCAGCTCTGCATTGGTCATGTGCGGCACAAAGGGGCGAACGAGAAGAGCAGACTCGCCCTGGCCGATAAATGGAGTCGCAGCGGCGACGACAGCCTCGGCGCCGGACACTTGAAGAGCCCAGAAGATGAAGGTGGCCGCCTTGCCGATGAACCATTGCAGAAATCCAATGTAGTAGAGGACTTGGACAATAGCAACGAAGAAGATGATTGGGGGCAGAACATTGATGATGAAGTAGCCCAGTTTCGGGACGTCCTCATTTGTCAGAAAAATGACTCCCAGTTTCGCAAAGCCCAACAAATCGCCAGCGCGATCGGCAATGAATTTGAAAATATCAAAGCCGACACCAGTTCGCAAGACGAAGAGGGCAATGATAAACTGGGCGAGCATGCCGCCGATAACGGGGCGCCAGTTGATGAGCTTGCGGTTGCGCGAGGTACCCCAGAGAGCGAAAATGGTGAAAGCCAGACCAAACAACGAGACGGCACGGTTCTCGCGGTTGTTGTCGGCAAACTCCTCGGAAGCCATAGATCCGACAAGCATAGCGGCCACGGTGACGGCAGCTCCAGCGGGAGTACGAGCCTTAGGGGGAAGAGCATCGTAAATACGGACAGCGCTCTGAGACCAGGCCCAGATGACGGGGCGGGACAGGTACGAGCTGCGGACGTAAAAGAAGAAGAGGCGCATGGAGATGGCAAGCCACACCAGGAAGGGGATGCGCCAGTTCATGTCATCGCGGTGCAGAACGAGGCCGGCAATCCACCAGCCGGTAAACAGCAGGAAGATGAACAGGTGGAAGAAGGGGCGGTAACGGCGGTAAAACGTGCGCGACTTCGACGGTTGGTGCTCCGACGAGCGCTCGTCATCATGGGCAATGACACCAACCTTCTCGCCATTGGCATACTCCGGCGGGCTCTGACCACCAAGCTTGGCCTTCTCGATATCGTGCTCGCTGCTGGCGCGCGTGTCGTCGTGATGGTGCAGGTGGCTTTGGGGGGGGATAGTCTGAGGACCGGTGCCCTTGGCGTACACGATGTTGTCTTCCGCGACGCCGGTGGCGTGGTGGAGGTGGGCGTGTTGGTGCTGGTTCACAGGCTCGAGTGCCGGGTCGGAATTGCGGCGGAGGTGATCGGGAGTAACAGCCTGTTCAGCCGGCTGTGGCGTCCGGGGCGGGCTTTGGTAGGGCGCCTGGCCGGAGCCGGTGGTGACAGTTGCGTGAGAAGCCATGGCTGCCGGTCGCGGACGGGATGACACAAGTGATAAGGTTCCGGGATGAGAAAACGAAGATCGGTTGAGAGTTGCTGACGCGTGTTGAAGGCGTCGAAGACAGACTCTTTGAAAGAGGAGCCAAGGATCGGCAAAGGCGGCGGAGGGGGCGACGGCGACGGCGACAAGACACACACATCCAAGGCACAAGCGCATCAAAAGAGGGGGGGACAGCCCTTCTTTTAAAAAAATTCCTCTGACCCTTTTTTCCCCAGCTGTGCGACTGCACTGGCGATCTAGGGAAATCCGAAAGTAGTGCCGAGGCTAGGGGGGCATGGCCGTAACGGGGGCGAAGAACCACAGAAGATTGCAACGATGCTTTGCTGGAGCTTATCAACGGCCAACCTGGACCGGTGGGGAGCCCTCTGGCCTGGCCCATGTGGAGAGACAACCCCAAAGCACCCACCCCGCGGACAGTCCATGTGGTTCTGGGCTGAGGATTGGCCCTCACCACGGAGGAACAGGATCCCAGGATCTGCGTGGTGGACGGCCCAACGAATGCACGCGATCCAATTCAGCTTTGGTCTCGACAAGTGTCTTGCCAAACGACTGTTGCACACGCGAGCAGCGACTTCGTGGTGGCTGACAGGGTGGGCCATCGCGACATGGCGATGACCGCTGACTCGAGTCGCTGCCGGCGCTGCTACACAGGCAGTTGAGAAGGTTTTCGCGTAGCCTATCTGTACCCAGGGACCAGAGATAAAAGCTGCTCCGTTGAGGCGCCGCTTCCCAAGGATGCCGTACCTGCGGGCTCCTGTGCGCCATGGGGATGCCGACGCTGGCATGCGGGCGGTCCAGTGGCGAGCTAGCGGCGCTCGTCCGCTTCTGGAAGGTTGATAGAAGAGACTTGGTCATGGCGTCTCGGCGCTGGCAACCATGATGGGACAAGTTGTCCTCTCTGTCCAATAGCTGCGTCGCTGATGGTGCCGTTGACGGGCTTGGTCCCCTGGATCGCAGCGCTGACATTGGTGGACGGGCTGAGCGGCAAGGATTGCTGGAGCTTTGGACGACACACAGTACACCATACGGACTCGTCCGAAAGCACCTTGGGATCTTGGCTCGAAAGCCAAAAGCAAGTTGGGGGAGGATGTCCGGGGGAACGCAGGGGAGGGGGGCATGGGGGAGGACTCCAACCCGCCCAGGCTACATTGTGGTGCAAGCCACGAGATGACCACGCTTGACATTGAGGGGAAGGACACACACACAGGCGGGCGGCTCCGATGCTTTGTGGCCCATTGAATGCCGAGGGGGCTTGAAGCCCCCTTTCACCCCAGACTACATGGGGAAGGACCACGATCGAAATTGGCGTCGTCGAAAGAGGCATCCTCATCCCGCCGCATCACATGCCGAGGGGAGACCAGGCTCTTATTCCAGACTTTCTATACCAGGATCCTCTGGCTCTTTGAGATGAGAGATTGAAGCCTCAGAGGGTTCTGTGGCTGCGGCCGACCAATGCGAGAGCCAACTGCTTTGCGAAGGAATCCCGTATCTTTGCCCAATCTGGGTCGCGAGCTCGTGCCCCTTGCCTACCCTTGGCTCGAGCCAACGAGAGGCATCGATCAATCGGTGCTCACACCCCTCCACTGGTTCTCGTGTCGACTATCAGTGGCTTGGATGTGCCATCGGTCGGCTCCGATGCATACACCACGACCGGTCGCGCTTGGGTCTACTGTAAGCAGCAGCTTTCCCTTGTGCAGGGCGTTCGCGGCCATGCAACCTCGAAGCTTAGGGGCGTCCCGGGCAATTGTGTGGGTGACAGGCGCACGTCGCGGGAACGGCTCGTTTGCACCTGCACCCCGCGATAGAGCAGCAAGAAGAGAGACAGGTGCAACGCTATCGCCGCTTAGCCCAGCGTGGTATCATCCCTCATCCCCCTGGCGAGCTCGTCGGCCAGCTTTCTGGGATCTGACAGCTTGGTTTGCTCCAGGGCCCCATTATTATCGCTATATTCGTGTCCGTTCCCCGCCAGCCATTGGGGCCGGACATCGCATCCACGGTTATCTCTGGCACAACGCCCTGTCCTTCCGGGGCGAGAACACCGTGGGCCAACCTGGCTGATAGGCTTCAGCATTGGGACCCGCAGTTGAGATTGGGTGTCAGCCCGTTCCGTGAGCCTTTGTGAGGCCGACGATAATACTGGTCTGGTCACGCGCCCGAGAAATCTGTGCGTTCGCGTCGGACATTGTCCAGCTTCAAAGGGCGTGACAACTGCGCGAGCTATCGACGATAGCCTTGCCTGCCTACGCCGGCCACCTCGCCGGCCGGCGGCGTGTTTGAGTGTTACTCTACAGTTGCTGCCGTGGCCCACCACTCTCCATATTGCTGCGGAGGCTTTGGTCGTGCGACGAGGCATTGCGTCAAAGGCGCCGGTCTCAGGCTTGTGGCACCTCTGCGCCCTATCCCAAGAGACGTTCTTGTTATGTCATGGCTTTTCATGGCGCGTATCGTGACACAGTCCATTCCACCGCTTCCATTCTCGACTTTGCACCAACGAGGGGCATGTTCGGCTTGAGGCGACATCCGCATCGGGTGTGTCCTGAGCTTTCGGAAGCGTCGGCCACTAAGGTTTCGGCCCAGTCTGCTGGGAATCGCAATACAGTCTGGGCAGCGGATCGAGAGCGATAGCGGCCCATGACAGGAGTCAGGCTGCTTGTGTCCGGAGCGATAGGGTGTCGATCTCGGGCAAGCCTCACCTGTGGGACAGGGTGCAAAGCCCCGAATCGCTCCGTATGGCCATCCTGCTGACGAAGATGTACATCACCTGACTTTTCACGAGCCACAATGTTGAGCCACTGCACAGCCACTGCACAGCCACTGCACAGTTGTCACAACCAGGTGCTTGAACCAGCATGCCATTCGATATATATATGCCCGGAGAGCCTAAGTATGCAACAGAAAGAAAGAAGAGAAGATATGCACGGTCACAAGTGATCAGGCCGGTTTGATGTTTCCCCTTACAGGCACTGCGAGTAGTACTGGTTCGAGACCGTGCAGGTCGAGCCGGCCACGCAGCGGGTTGGTCCGGTGTAACCGGAGCCGCCGCACTGGCCCCAGCGAGGCACCTCAGGACCAGATCCGGTGGCCGGAGGTGTTGAGGTCGGGCGTGCCGTTGTTGTCGCGGGCCGGGCGGTAGTGGTAGTCGCGGGCCGGGTGGTAGTGGCAGCGGGTCGGGTGGTGGTAGGCGTAGCGGTCACGGCGGCAGGGGGAGGCGCAGAGCCGCCCGAGCCCGACTGCCAACCGCGCTTCCGCGACAGCTCGTACCACCAGTTTCGCAGCATCCAGCCGTCGAACTCGGTAATGCTTTGTGAGGAGCCGGCCAGCATGATGAAGTTTTTGATGCCAGTGGGGGTCCAATCATAAAAGTCGTCGAGACCGTAGGTGTGACCCATTTCGTGCAGAAGAATGTGAACGTTCTCGGAATTGAGAGCACCCATGAAGTATTCGCGACCAATGCGTTGACCCCAGTCACCACCAGCACCACCGCTCATGCCATCCGTCAACCAGAGCGACTGGTCGTAGTGACGCGCCGCCCCACCGGGGCAGCGGCTGTAGTCGCCGTTCTGGTTGAAGAAGCGTCCGCAAGCCGGAGCACACTCAGGAATTCCTGATCCATCCTTGTTGGTGTAGATGTCGAGGCCAGCCGTGGAGCCCTGAAGCAGCGCCTTGTCTCGGACAGCCCAACCGACAATGTTGACCTTGACGTTGGTATAGGGGAAGTTGTCGTAGCCGTACAGCCATTGGAACCACTTCTGGTACTGCGCAGCCGTCACCTTGGCTATTTGGCTGCGCTGAGCCTCGGTCACGACCGCGTCTGACTCCCAGCGAACGCACATATTGATGGTTCTGGCTCTGTTGTCAGCGCTGCACTCTTCCCAGTCATACGATTTACTCACCCCTGAGCCGCGATGAGCTGGTCCCAGCCATAGTTCTTGAAGCGGAAGAGATCGCCATCGGCATATGTGGCAAGGCAGTGATCCCAAACCTGCTTCAACGGGGTAGCCAGGCTGGTGGGCGGGTTCCAGCCGGCTTGGCGCTTCGCCGGTCGGTTCGAGGAGCTTCGGGGAGCAAAACTGGTGGCATCCTTCCCAGCGAGAGCCTGCCAGACCGAGCCGTCCTGGTCAGAAGGGGTGGAGATATCGTAGCCGGAAACAGAAGCCGCGAAGGCCAGCGCGGCGGTGGAAAGAAGCGAGTAATGCATGTTGGACAAACGTAGACAGTTGGAGTAAAGGTAAAATGCAAGAAAAGGGTGCAGAAAGATGAAGGCCTCGACTTTTCTGGGTCTATGGCGTTCGACGGCCTTGATGATATACAAATCCACTCAAGACGCATCCTCCCTCCCTGAGCAGCCATTCATTCTGAAATCAAGTCGAGTCCTCGCTTTCGTAAAGAAGACCCATGTCTTCACGACCAGAAGATCTTTCTTCATTGGTCAGACTCAGCGGCCACAACCGCTTTGGGATTCGGCGAGTGGTGGAACAGCACTCAGTTGGCTAGCCTCGTGTTGAGGTGACCCTGGCCGGCGGAGTTGGATGAAACAGGTCAACGGAAGATTAAGGGCGGTGTGTGGCGCCTGGCCGAGTGCTGTGAAGGTGGCAGACTTTTTGGCGCTACAGCCACTGCTTAGAGCGGGGCCGCCCTGAGTAGCATCCGCGCAATCTGGTCGCGGGGCTCGTAGCATTTCTTAGACAACCGACCTTGGAGTGTAGGTGCTGAGTTCGGAGTATAAGTTTATTGATTGGAGCGCTTTTGATTGAGGTCTGGTCTTCTGATTTCTGGGATGAGCACGGTTGTCGACCTGTCGACGGGAAATTTTTTGGCATTGAAGAGCACACGCATTAGCGTCCTTTTGAATCCGGGGTGATCCTGTTCCATGGGTCCATTGACATCGGAGCTGACATTCAACTGGGTTCCGCTGACTGGATATGGCTTGTTGGGCGTCGGAGGATCGCTGAATCTATCAGCCTTGGCGACACGAATGAGAGATTCATCGCATCGTATTAGACATACGGTTGTTAATATGAAACGCGACCTATTACGGCTTTCAGATGATGTTGGGAATGGACATGAGAGGGGCAAGCTTTGTGGAGAGCAAGGGGCTTGCCAAGGAAACACTCCCGGGGTATATTCTTCCCGCCGAGTCCGAAGCCACGTGACGGTGGTCAGGACACTGGTCCAGTTTTGCTATTTGTAACTGTCTTTCCCGTGAGGAGAATAACTAGGCCTATTTCTCGCAGCACGTTCTATGGGACGAGACTGCTACTAGGTTTGCGAATTTTCTTCATAGCTTTAAAATCAGAATGCATCTAGGAGCCATGTAATCCACTGCCTCCCTGACTTAGCTTAGCTCCGGTAGGACTTCCACATTATAGATTCGTTCCAGTCGAGGTACGATGATGCTGCGTCGGATTAAGGCGGGACTCTTGCTACTAGTGATTGAAAAGTAAGAATAATGTTTGTTCGCATGCTGCATTCTATCCATCCGCATGCCCTCTGGTACTCAAATTGCTAGAGTCGTCAAAACTTAATAGCTGCAGATGCCGTATGCATCTGCTCTGGATACATGTTCTTGCGAAGAGTTTGTCTCAAAGAGTCCAGCCCTCGCGTTGGTTTTGGGCACGCGAGAAGGATTCTCGCCTGTGTGTAGCTACTTGCCGAGTGAAATCGTTCTGTTTCGATGTTGGATCCTGATAAGCGGTCGATCTTGAGTAAGATTACCAGACTGCACGTAAACACTCGCCGCTTCTCAAATCCCTAGCATTGTGTCGTATTCTCATGGCAAAAGTTGAAGTGAATGTCTTCAATTTTGCAGCAGGTACAAACAACGCCGACGTAAAAGTCTAGAGTGCCACAATCTTTGGGTATCACTCTCACAGACGGTGGCATCCTGTTTCGCGAGATTTATTTGCAACATGACGTACTTCCGTCTCCACGATGGAAAGAATCACATCCGGTCTGTACGTGAAAGGGAAGATCTCGGACGCTATCCATTTAAGTCTAACCCTTGGAAGGTCATCAAGCCAGCCGACACACCAAAGTAATGTCCAAATCGGAAGTGACCTGGCTCTGGAATCAGGCAGGGCCAGAGTGCCTCGTTGGGCGATTGTAACAAGAAAAAAGGTTACTCAAGCACTGGGATAGAAGTATATCAAACTTCGACTACTTTCAACACCCCATATCGCCATCAGTATGTGCATAGCTCCACCATTGGTGTTTAAACGCTCTGTCAGCACATACGCTATCAGTATTTACCGGGCCACCACTAAAAGGTCGTGGGACACTAATTAGTGACGCCCATGAGCGCATGTCCCAAAGGTACCAAGGCAAAATTCTAGTGCCGGGCTTCACCTCGCAACCCAGGCCGTCTCGAAACTTTGACGTTAAGGTCGCTCTGTATGAAGAATGCGGCGTTGAATGACTTCCATGGGTTTGTCGGGTCAATGAGGACAAAGTCGAATCGACGGAGGAGCTCGTCACCTGTAAGCCTACGACGAGGAGAAGCGAAGGGGGTATCAACTCACTTCAACGTAGACCTTGTTCAGTTCGATCATGGCAATGTTCTTTCCAAGACACTCCCATCGGCTTCCCGATGCAAAGTCCATCATGACCTGCTGGTCCATCGCACGCCACTTAGCGTCCGGAATACCTATCCATCGTTCGGGCCGGAAGAGGTCTGCGTCTGGTCCAAATATATTTTGGTCGCGCATAACGGTCCATGGTGCCCAGGCAACATTGGTGCCAGCAGGGATGTGCACGCCGCAGACAACTTCATCCTTTTGCGAGATCTTTGGAAGCAGGCCCGTGGCGGGTGGCCACAGCCGCAGCCCCTCGCGGATGACAGCCTGCAGGTACTCGAAATTCTTGGCTTCGTCATCGGTAATAGGCGAAGAGATCCGCCCCTCCTCAATGGCTCGGTCAATCTCGGACTGAAAGCGTGCGTAAACGGGAGGGTTCGTCATGAGGAAGAGCAATGTCGACCGAATTGCCGTTGCCGAAGTGTCAGAGCCTGCGATGATTTGGACGACTGTCTCGCCCTCGGCGTCCTGCTTGCTCAGCCCGTGGGCCACAAAGGAGCCCAACATGTCACGTTTGACAATTGGGTTGTCGCCGTAACGCTCATCCACTGCTTCCTGGGCAAGGCCCATAACCGTGCCGATGCCGACCATTTCTCTTGCGCTGGGAATGATCCACTTTAACCTGGGTGACTGCAAAATGTTGAGGAACCATGGTATGAGGGCCGTCGCCAGAAGCACTGGAACTGTGCTCTCTGTTGTCTCAATGTACCGAAATTTATCGCCATCGGCCTTGAGGTAGTCGAATGACTTGCCAAACGCGAGGCTTGAGATGACGTCCAGAGTAAAGAACTGCACCTTGCGTGCCAGGTCGACAATTTTAAAGTCTTGTTCGGTTGCAAGATACTTGGACTCGAGGAGATGGACAAGTCCTGCGACCTGTTCGTCAATCAGCTCATGCAAACCGTCCACATCTTTCCCCGCGTAGCCGGCTGAGAGCCTGGAGCGCAAGGCCTCGTGCACCTTGTCGTCTGTGGTCGAGAACGTGTTGTCCTTGTATGGGTCGATGCGAAGCCCGCGATACCAGTGCCCTCGCTGCCAGCCAGAGCGCACTCCCCACAGGCGTCGAAGCTCGGCGCCATCGCCACACACGACCCAGTTGGGTGCGATCCTAGCAACGGGCCCTGGAGTTTCCTTGTCAGTTTCGCTGCGCGAGTGATATGTGACGAGAGGTCGTGGTACCGTATTTTTTATTGGCATCTTGCAGCACAAAGTTTAGCCGCCCGCTCAGTTGGTTGCGGATCAGCCACAGATCTGTCCAGCCCGCCAAGAACGGGCCGTGTACGTGTCGCAGACGTGAAAAGTCCCGCACCCGCGCAGCCACCAAGTAGGACAGCAGCAAAAGCCCTGCTGCTAGGGCTATAGTAGCAGGTGGCATGGTTGAGAGATCCATTTTCAGTAGGGGACTGGTGAGAAGTTGAAGCAAGAATCGGATCGGACGAGTCAGTTCAGATACCGTCCGACGTCCAATCCTTATGGACGCCACCAGAGGCGACCAAGTTGGGACGTTTCTCTCGCGCACTTGAGCGGACGAGACACAAGATAGTCAAGAAGCCATGTGCCAGCTGGCCCGGGACTAGAGACCAGAGGGAGAGCCTGAGCGAAGTGATGCTTTCCTAGCGCACCATCCTACTGGACCACGGGTGCGCCCAGGTTCTTTTGAGCGGATTCGCAATCCACGTTCGTCGACTGGTCCCGCCTCCATGGCCGGGGAGTAATCTCTGAGAGGCATTGTGACTGGGTGGTGGTGTCCCTTGCGCTCCGCACGCCGGGGTACGCGAGCGCCTTTGTCTTGCAACTGTGAGACTTGGCGAGCCGACAGGACGGCTTGCGCCGCTAGGTCATGTTCAATCATTTTCTGCCCATGGGCAAGGAAAAGCCTCTCCCGCCGACAGGCTACAGAGCATCAGTACCTTGAGGAGCAGAGAGTGAAGTGGCATGGGGCTGCTCATCGCGCAGGCGCGGCCCAGGGCTGACACTTCCGGTGAAGGGAGCTGACGTATCACAAAATTACCCCTCTAGCCATCGTTAGCGCTGGAAGCACACGGGCTATATCTTCATTCAGCCCTCAGGCGTCGACGTGCCAGCCTGCTCTACTTCCCTGTTATTGATCGTGAGGTAAAGAGCTCCTCGTCAGTGTCCGCGCCATCCGCCCAAGGCTTGTTCAGAAGGAAGTTCTGGCCAAAGACGCCGACATGTCTGAAACGACTCAACCGCCATCGCAGGCGACACAATCGCCTCACTCAACGCACATAGAGGCTGCCCCCCCACTACAAGCTGCGCCCCTGACGACTGTGCAGATCGTAAGTCCGGTTGTCCGGTCCCGTTCCTCGCTTCCTCGTACCTCTGTCCATCCTTGCCATCCGTCAGGTCAGCATGGCACCTAACCTTATATAGGAAGCAGATGAAGGTAGCGAAACAGACGGCGACTCAGCGCTTGACGTGGTAAGTTGCATTGATGGTCCAGAGGGAATCTCGACATCGGCACGGGCCGCGCTACACTTGTCAGTGGATGCCACTACAGAGCATGGACGAGGGTCTCACCAACAGGGCTAGAGGCGCTATCTTCGTCGCCCTAGCGAATCCTAGTCCCAGCTGACTCGCTTACCGTCTAGCCTACCCGTGACTCGCTTACGTCGCTGCGGTCGAGCATTCGCGAGTACCAACATGAGAATGGCCGCACATACCATTCCATGAGCGCTGGCAGTGAGTGTATCATCTTCAGGCGAGTGGCTTTGCTTGCTGACAGTCTCTCTAGAATACTTTCTGCCGAATGATGATGTGAGTGAAGAGCAGCTGTCGAATGGAATTTGGCTGACAACACCGCCTCAGTCCGAAGTCGATAGATTGGGTACGATCAAGGTGCTTTGATCCTCGGTCAGAACATGCTAATGATGCTATACTTAGATCTGCAGCACTATGTGATGACCATGACCATAGGAGGCAATCACTGCCTCTGCCCTAAAAACAACGGAGCGACACGTGTGCTGGACCTCGGGACAGGCACAGGTATCTGGGCCATGGAGTTCGGTGAGCATTTCGTGTTCTTGTTCTGTATGCGCTGCTAATCACCTTAAAGCCGACGCTCACCCAGGCGCTGAGGTACGAAGTGAAGTCTGGGCAGCGGGATAGCTTGTTGTTGACGAGTGCAGGTTATCGGAGTCGACCTGAGCCCTGTACAGCCCGATCTGTAAGCCCGTCCCCACGCTTCGCTCCGAGACCCTGGACTTACAAGCCTAGTGTGCCACCAAACTGCCACTTTGAGGTGAGCTTTTTGAAAAACATGTATCGCGATTGCCTTGCTTACGGCAATGATAGCTCGACGATCTCGAAAAGGATTGGACGTGGTCGAAACCTTTCGACTTTATTTTCTGTCGTATGATGACCGGCAGTTTCGTTAATAACGAGAATATCGTCCAGAAGGCTTACGAGTGACCCCTCCCTGTTCTCTGGGGCAAAGACTTAGGCTGACCACTCCTGCTAGCTCGCTTGAACCGGGTGGTTACTTCGAGGCCCAGGATATGGCGCTGCCACTCGGTTGCGATGATGGCACCCTTGCCGAGGATTCTGACCTCTGGAAGTGGGTTCTACTCGTCATGGAGGGCATGGAGAAATTTGGACGGCCTGTTTCGGCAGCTCAGGAATGGAAGACACTCATGGAGCGTGTCGGCTTTGAGGACGTTGTCGAAACCGTGTACAAGTGGCCCACCAACAGGTGGCCTCGTGACAAGCATTACAAGGAAATTGGCACGTGGGCGTTTGCCAACATGGACCAGGCACTCGAGCCCTCGACCATGGTGCCTTTGACGCGCGCACTGGGCTGGACCTACGAGGAGGTACTTGTGCTGGTCAGCAAAGCACGCAAGGTCTTGAAAGATCCCAGCGTTCATGCGTACTGGCCCATGTGAGTCACTATCTGCCAGAGTTCGGGTCTTGGGCTAACATTCCGCAGCTACATGGTCCATGGTCGAAAACCGCTGAACGGCGACGACGTATGACCTATCAGCCGCGGCGCTTGCCTTGACCCTTCTAGAGCAACAATCCTGTCAAAAGGAACATGCTGGATGCATATACAATGTCCAATGTGCAGTCAAGTCCCTGTTTCGTAGTCTGAGAACATGATTCGCGCCTGGCGTGTAAGTTCCATTGGCTCTGGCCTTCGGACACCCGTCCCTGTAATGGCCATGTCCTTCTCCTCAGCTGAAATCACCGACGACCTGTTTCGGCCCGGACCATTCAACTGCCGATGCGTCCGGGACATGATGACCTGCGTACACGGGCGATCTTGGCATGATCGGCATGCGCCACGAGAAGCCAGGGGTTAGCCGCCATTAAAGTAGTAGCGGCGGACTGCGACTTCGCCGGCACTCGCCCGCTGTCCGATTCGTGCGGTACCCCTGGGATCGCCACTACCCCGCGCCACCATGTCCACAGAGTGACATGTTTACATTGTAACCCAGTCCGCGCGCCAGCACCACAGCATTGGTCTTGGCGAGAATAGGTCAAGAATCATTTAGTTAGCATCGTGGGAACCCCTCGCCTCGAGCTTGACCGAGGCCGAAAGAAGGCGGTGGTCGAGATTACAGTTAGATTTGTATATAAATCTTCACCTTTCTGGCCAATTGATGCATAGGTGCCATACCACAACTTCACCATGATGCGACTACTAACTTGCTCTGCACTGGTGGCTCTTCCTTTGACGCTGGCCATCAGCATCAGGTCGACAGACGTCTGGGACATAGCGACTGATATCCAGGGGCCCGAGCGCCTCAACGGTGTTAGTTACCAGGAAGATGTGCTGGTCACGTTTGGAGACTACCAATATGTCACTTTCTACAGCACGACACCTGCGGGCTACAACAACCACCATGTCAATCTTGGCCGTCGCAGGATTGAGCCGAGTGTAGAACCTTGGGAGTACCTAGCCTTCACAGATTACGTGCAGCGTACCATGGACGGTCATAACATGATATCGATGGGCATCTCAGGCGATGGGCATGTTCACTTGAGCTTCGACCACCATGTAAGGCAACTCAGCACCATTGTGCCTATGTCTGCTAACTGTTTCAAGGATGTCCCTCTCAACTATCGTGTTTCCAAGACTCCCATTGCCCTCGAAGTACCGGCGACCTGGTCAGAGAGCTTGTTCAATGAAGTCATTCACGAGCTTCCTGGTTCCCAAGGCCCCTGGACACCTCTCACGTATCCTCGCTTTGAGTTGCTGGGCAATGGGGATTTACTAATGGAATTTCGAATCGGCCAGTATGTCGTCCAAGCTTCTCTCACGTTGGTTTGCTGAACAGAATAGGTCCGGATCTGGAGACAGCTACATCCATCGATACTCAAGCTCAACTCAGCAATGGAAGCCGTACGGCAAATATCTCGAGGGCTACGACAACAACGCATATATAAATGGCCTCAGCTACCTCGACGGTCGGCTGTATACTTCGTGGACCGTTCGAGAAACACCCAATGCTGACACCAACCATGACTTTTATTTTGCCTATTCTGACGATGATGGTCAAACCTGGTTTAACAGCAACGGCTCGACACTTCCCCAACCCATCTCGACTGCCCTCGATGAACCCCTTGTGTGGGAGATTCCACAGAACAGTCGCATGGTGAATCAAGAGGGCCAGCTGGTGGACAGCGCTGGCCGATTTCACTCGCTTATGAGGGACAATATCACAGGCCATCATCTCTATCAGCATTTCATGCGGGACACCGACGGTAATGATATTAATCTTGCCTTTCATGACGTCGGGCCTGACAAATTATAGGGACCTGGAGCAAGAGCGCGATCAACCCAAGTGGTCTCCTGGGGCCTGATCTGTACGATCCCCGTGGAAAGCTTGCTGCTGATGCTAGTGGCGAGTACGTGATTGCGCTCCTACCCGTCGCTGCGACGTCCGAGACGCGTATCTACGTTGCTTCTACCCGAGAGAAGTTTCGGCATTGGGTCTTATTGACGAGCATCCCAAACACCTCAACAGAACCACTATACGACCAGGTTCGGTTAAGGGAATATGATGTATTGAGTGTGTTTGTACGTCAGGCGGGCTCGTACCCCGACCGGATGCTTCAGGTTTGGGACTTCAAGTTAGAGCTCTAGATGTATTTTTGGTTGAGCTCGTCTATAGTAATAAAGAGTTTATTAGGCCCCTCTACGTACTTCCTAAGTCCAGAGTACTACGTATCTACATGTACAACCTCCACAGCCGCTTGTGGTCTGGAACGCCTATGAACATGCAGTGGCTCACCAATGGACAGGCAACAGGGTACAGGGTACCTCAGTGTTGTAGTGGAATATTGAGTGCTAGGGTAGCTGGCCATATGATTGGAGGAGCTTTAGGTAGGTCATCCATTCATCGTCTTGCCACTTTACCTAGATCGATACCTAAGGCCTGGATTGCCTGAATATTGTGGATCTCAGAGGCACTTCCACGTGAGGTCAGATACCCCGCTTTGCCACCGTGGAGTGGCAAATTGCCAGCAATTGTTGGAAGTTATGACCGGATTCCCACCACGCACTTCTGAGAATTGCATATTGTGATGACAACCTTCGCTGATCAGTTCTTCAGATGTAGGCCTTTCGATCGAAACCACCAAAATGACCACGACAATATCTGCGAGGAGCGTCAGAAAAGCCTTCGTCCCTAACGCGGACGCTGCTGTCCTGACCACGAAACATCTTCTCCCGTCCGCGCGCCCGCTCACGCCTCACCCCATCTTTGACCCAGACGGCCTCAAGAAGCCCGTTGACGCCTGGTGTCAAGAACGGCATGGATCTAATTACCCCCCTACTTCCGAACCTTTCGAGCCCGCCTTCATACCCGAAAACCCCACGTGCGGTTCGGATCGATACCTGCGTCCAACACTAGCAAAAGACGAGCGACTCAGACTCTCAATGCTCTGGTACTACACTCGCGACGTCCTCTACGAAACAGAATTCCTATCCGGACTCCAGGAAAAGGCGCGTCTCGCGCAAGAGTCGGCTGGTTGGGAGTTCTCCGTCATCGGATTTCTCGATGTCAACTACCACACCCGCTTAGCCGCGGTCGGCTTGCCTCTGGGCATTCTCCCCCGGGGCGAGACCATCTGCGCGCACACAATCAATATGCCGCCAGGTGTAAGTCATTGCCTTCGAGCTGTCGCTATCTTCTTGCATGACTAATGTTTTACATTAGAGCGTGTTCCTGATGCCCAATATGCTGGAGGATTGGCGGTTCAAAGATTCACCATATGTAGAGTCCGGCAAGCTCCATGCTTATGCCGGCGCACCACTTCGCCTGCAGAGCGAATCAGGCGTCACTGTCGCTTTAGGATCACTTTGCGTGGCCTCAGGCGCGAGCCAGCCGCCATTGACCAAGACGAAGCAACGCGCGATTGCGCACCTGGCTGACTGGATCGTGTCGGACCTAGTACAGTGCGCCAGAGTGAGGCGGCAACGGCAGCGTCGCCACATGGCCGACCTCATTGCCGCCGCGCAGGTTGATCTGGACCGTGTTCTGGACAAGCGGCCCATCCTCCATATCTTGGAGACTATTTATCCAGAAGCAGTCATCAGCCGCGAATCAGCCAAGGCCACTCATCTGGAGGTTCAAGGGCGCGAGCCGTTAGTTATCGCAGATTTCGAAGACGGTGTATGGGAGGACACCGACTACATCGATGAATTCATCGCTCAGTCCAACTGCTTCGAACTCCCAACCAACAGGGTTGTGCGGATCTTGAGTGCTAGGTTCGAAGGGACATCAGGCTCCAACTTAGTCGCTGTGGCATCGAATGACTTTCGGTTGGTTTTTGACGACATCGATCTTTGGTTTATTCAGACTTGTGCCAGTTTGATATCCCAGGCATGGCACAAGCGGCTTCTCAACGAAGCTATCAAAGCCAAGGATGAATTCCTCCGTGGATTCTCACACCAACTGCGAACCCCGATTCATGGCATTCTCGGATGCGTGGAGCTGCTGTCCGAAGAATTATCAACGCGAAAGGCAGCGTTAGGAGCACTCTCCGTGTCCGCATCATCCGCCAACGCCGGAACTTCGAATCTATATCTTGAATCAATCAAGACGTCAGGCCGAGACCTGATAGCTATTGTCAACAGTATGATCACGCTCAACCGATGGGCCGAGATTGCGATGGCGGAAAGGTCCTATGCCGTATGTTCACTTCAAGAAGTCGAGGCCGATCTGGCAGAGGAAACCAGTAAAGCGTTCTCTGGAGACAGCAGATACCGGCCGTCGGTTCTCTTCAGCTGCGATCCGTCACCAGATTGCAACGAATTCCAGGCTGATCGCAGCCTGCTCCGAGACAGTCTACTGCCCCTCATTGTCAACGCTGTGCAGAACACGCCAGAGGGTATTGTGACCGTGACGCTATCTCTCCGGGCCGACATCCGCGAGCTTACCGTCGATATCGTAGATACTAGTCGCGGTATATATCTAGACTACTAAGCACGAATATTCGAGCTATACGGAAAGGTCGGCGAACATTCGATAGGTGCCGGTCTTAGGTTAACTATTGCTTCTAAATTTGCAGGTCTCTATAATGGCTCTGTGAATTTGATATTATCATTAGGGTTAGGGTTAGGGTTAGGGTTAGGGTTAGGGTTAGGGTTAGGGTTAGGGT